GGGAATTCTGGGAATGTCAATTTATGGTTATTCACTGTAAATTATACAGTCTTTTTCACTTCCAAAAACGGTATACTACCGTAAAATTAATGTCCAATACATGTAATGTCCAATACAGTTTTTCACCGTATATAGTAGAGGAATTTACCGTTAACCATTTAACAGGTTTTTACTGTAGCATTTTTACAGTCTTTTACCGTTAAATTCACGGTCATTTTTTACAGTGCAGGACAATCGGCAGATTGCACCTTTAACTTTATTCATGTTTTATTGTACACTTTATTATTCTTTTTTTTTTTTTTATGAATTTATTAATGAAATTATTAAAAAAGGGCAGAAAAAATTGAAATACACATCTAAATTAAACGACTGAACAAAAAAATGAATAAAAGAAGTAATGTAGGAAATATGCTTCAAAGACTGGGGGAAAATCTGTCAATGACTTACTGACCTGCACGAAAACCAATGTATTGGACCCGGAAATAACGTCTCTATATAGATATTATATACTATAATATATATTTTTATATAAAGTATATCATAGGCTATATTATTATGTAAAGTATAATATTATACGTATAAATAATATAATATAATATAATAGTTATTATATCAGAGTTGTCTGGAACGCAGCATTAGGTTAACATTTCAATAAACGAGCGTTTACTACAATTACTAGCCATTCTATAAGGTGACATTTCAGCACTTGACAAACGGATAGCGACTCCTAAGTAGCACTTAAAGCACGGCTACGTGCGATTGAGTTAAGTGCATTTTTGGGAAACGCACGTGAAACAATAACGAGCGATCGTAAAATGACTCGTAGAAAACGCTCTTAAGCTCTAAGATCAATCGTTATCGAGAAACGCAGCCCAGATCAGTGTTGTTTTAGTATATTTGAGATACTATTATAGTTTGTATTAATATTTTCAATTTTATATCTTCCGTTTCCCTTTTATTTTGTCATTTTTATTATTATTATTCTTTTTAAATATGCCTATACAGTTTTTATTCATTTTTATTTTGGTTTTAGTTGTAATTATATTAGTACATCAATTTAAACTATATATATATTATAGATATTTAAATCATTTGTTAAAATATAATTTTATTATATTAGCAATAATATATGGAATTTATAAATTATAAAAAAAAAATATTTCATATTGGTGTCATATTCAACCCATTCTTTCTCGCACTTTCTCAAAACACTCCTAAACTGCCTAAAACACTCTCAGACTGGCTCTAGCTGTAGGCTTTTCTAATTCTTGATCTCATTTGGCTTTGAAAGCTGTCAGCCAAACATGAGAGATGCTCAAGCTCACATTCCAATCTCATTACCAACAGGCTTACTCCAGTGCTTTTTGGCCAGGTATGAATGCAAACTCAGCATCTGAGTGAGATTCCCTGAGAGAAAGCGTGAGGGGGTCTTCCTCCAGCCTTTTACAAAAGGGAGGGATAGTGAATTTATCATGGCTTGGCAACTCCTGAGCCCCCCACCTCTTCCATTCCCATTCTTCCTGCAGACCCCGCTGAGCCCCAGCACTAATGACACCCCAGTCTGACCCAGCCCACATCACAAGCAGCCATGCTCTCCATCTGCTCCCTCGAGCCAGAAAAAGGCATGGCCCATCTGTCTCCAACACACACAAATAGGCCTGCGTCCCCTTTAAGTAACCATAACGAGACGCTGAGGCTATGCCAGATTATTCTTCGCTTTTAATCACCTGGTTTTGACAGCACAGACATATTCATATGTATTAATCTGCTACTGTAATGGTATCAAGAATGTGTCTGTAGTGCACTCACCAAACACAAAACAAAAGCACCACCAGCTATCAACTGTCGGTTAATGTATTTTAATTCTTTGTGTTTTTGTTATTAAATGAGTGCATTAGACAAAACACTTTACTATGATTTTTAACACCATAGAGATAAAGGTGATTTTGGCAAAGTTAGTAAAGCGTCCCGTCCCAGAGCTGTTACAATAAATATCAGACCTCTTGCAACTGACCAATCAGATTAGAGGACCAGAACTAACTGCTGTATAATAATGTCTCCTAATCTTTATATTATTGTTTCAGCTACTGTTTTTTTTTTTTACCTTAATTGGTTACATCCCAAATATAGGCTCGATTCATATGGAAATAAGTAAATTTTAATCACTGGTTCTCTTTAACTGTAAACTTTAGTCTTAATATTACAATGAATTTGCTGATGATAGTGAGAAATATCAGAAGTTCAGTGATCTCACTCACCACCAACAATACGGACGGAATCGATGCCAAATATATCTGATGCAGCCTTAATTTCACACAAAATTAGCATTCTCATCTGAAATTAACTATGATGAATGAAAGAAAATCATGCTGATGAAGAACAGCAATAACCTTCAGATGCATTAAACAACGGATGAATTCATAATTTTACTTCATTCCTAACCGCATAACAACAATAAGACGACAACACTACTATATCACAGAAGATGAAACGATTACATGGTTCGCATTCCTGAATGGAACACACGTTTCGGGATGCGTCAACACACAAAAAATACATAACATTGGAAATATGTGAATCGTAAAAAAAGATACGAACCTTTCCCGTATCGTAGACGCTTCGTAACGTTATTTTGATTATGTGAGAGGTGCCTGAACCGCTACAAAGCATCAAATCAGAGTCTAGCCATTGCGTAGACATAAATAGGCAACGCTCAAATGTCTCAGTAGGTGGGACCCACCAGCCGGTGTTTGGCTATAGGGCCGTGTCAACAATAGAATGTTCTCGACAGCCCACTTTAAATGTTTCCACTAATTTACATAACAGTGCCAATCAGTTCAGTAACATGCAGTAGCAGGTTCAACATGGAATTTTTGTTTTTGTTTTTACGTGTTATATAAATATATAAACAGACCCTCACAGCATAAAATAAATATTAGCTAATAATATGGTGACCCTAAGTGTTATGTGTTAACTGTTATTCATATAAATTGTGCTGTTACAAATTGAATGAGCAGTTGCTGTTTTGTAGAATGAGACGTTAGCTCTGACTTTTGGTCACAGAAATTAATAAAATTAAAGTATTAAGTACATGTTATACTATTGCCGTGTGGGATCGAACAGAGTTCTATTTTATATTACAGCAGGGACATCTGCTGGTCATTTGGAAATGTACTATGACCGATCAAACTATGTTATTATTATTATTATTTTAAAACGACTTGTTCTTTTTCTTTATGGCATATGGTACAGCTTGTTCAAAAACCACTAGAGCAAAATAAATATCCAGATTCGTCCAATAAACTTTTAATCACATAGAATAATTTACATGGTACAAACAAAAACTCATAATTTCTGTATGACACAATGAAGTATACACATATACATTTCCATTGTTAGTTCCTATTATAATATATTATGTACAGTTGTTAATGATATTTGTTCTGTGCGCATGAAAGAAAAAGAGAGGATGTATTCAATAAAGAGGTGGATGAGGTTGTCTGATGGTGACTGGTTCTCATATAGTTGTCTGGAGGTTTTCTGTGGGAGGCACAGGTGGGCTTAGCTCAGGACAGGCGACACAGGGGTCACTGAACTTCACCACATATAAGAGTCATCATATCTGAAAGAGATAAATGTAATTAATATGCAATCAACATTGCTAGTTTTTCTGACATCAGTAAGGCATATCAGTGTATGTTTCACTGATACTATTTCACCTTCAGTATTTTCATTGATGCTCCAATTTCTGTCAGTGATTTACAGTTTTCAATTAGTAAGCACAGTGCGATTTCTTCCTTTTTGAGACCTAATTAGGGCTGTTAAATGTCAAGGCCTTTCAAATATTCAGTGTGCGTCATGTTCCCTAACCCACTCCCTTCCTGACGGACAGAGAGAAAAGAAGCCAGGGATCCCATCTGTCCCTTGATTCCTCAACAGGTGTGAACAATTCATGAGTTGTTCCTCCTTCCTATTAACACACAACCCATCACTCTTCATAAGTGTGTTTCTCAAGAATTTAAAAACTGCATTTACCCCAAATACCTTTAGAATACCATTTAAATCAGGAAACTTATTTTTGTCCATCTTACTGTTGCACGACAACTCTCTTAGCATTTAACATTAAAATTGCAGCTATACGGTTAAAAGAAAGACTCCCACCTTGATCTCTGTTTGTGCTCCGTGTCATCTCCGAACAGCAACTCAGCTATCATATCCTCCGAAGTGGACCTTTTTCCATACCTGTATGTAAGAAATATGACATTTTATTCCCTCATTACTTTATTGCAGCCATGTAGCTTAGCTGGGAACATTTTGGTACTGAAATAATGATCTCAAATTGCTCACACAGTGAGCTCATTGTGGTGTGTGAAAGTGTTGGGAAGTGAAAAGAACTAGTCAGCCCACTTTATCTGTCAGACATCAATCACTGATACAAATACAAACTGTCTTTTCACCCAAGCCGTTATGAATCTAATTTAGCAGTTAAATGTTTTTTGACCACTTGACAGCTGAACGTGCTTGAGGCTCGTCACCGAGAAGACTCTGACATTGATCACACAGATGAAAGGTACAAAGCTTCTATATCTTCAGACAAAACATGACTGACAGTTCTAGAGAACATTTAGTGGAGACAATAATGCTTGACTAGTTCTTTTCTCTCAGAACGGCATCTTCAAGATGAATAGGCCCACGCTGAAAACAAGCTAAGGGCAATGGTTTGGCACTCGAATAAACAAAGCAATTACATGCTCAGATTCCTCCTCGATAGATGCCTACAAGCAATATCAATGAGTCTAAGACCAGACCAAACTAATGTTAAAGCTATTTCTGAAACATGAGCTCTACAGAATCTCACCTGCTCCCCATTATAAACGTCAGCAATACTTTGTGAAGAGGCCAGGATTCATTTAATGCAGTCACGACTGTGACGCACACATAGTTTAGCTACTTGAACCATCATGTCTGTTGGTTTCTCTTAGAAATTCATCATATATTTTCAATTAAACCTCTTACAGGCAAGACTTTAGGTTCTTTGATTGACTAGCAAGACATTGGAAAGGGATGAGGCTGAAATCCTCTCTTGGAATAAACTGGAATTAAAGTATATTGTGGGGAGATAAATGATTTACTGTAATTTTTTTATTGGAATGTGTCACTCATTTTCTGAGTCCTAAATGTCAAAGGCCTGTTAGAAGACTATAAATATGTAAATAAATGTAGTCCTCTATAAAGCAGGGATGAGAGAAACATCAGTCTATGACGGATGAATATTCAATTTCTGAGGCTTCTCCAAGGTGCATCTGTTTGGGTTTTATCACTCAGATTTGTTATACGAAGAGCCTTTGGCCACTGAAAAGTGGACCATAATGCAATTTCACAATCCTACTGCAGAACTTGGTCATTTTTTCCTGACATATTAATGGGAGATGATGCAATGACACCAACGGGAAATCGTTTTTTATCATGGTCACCTGGTCGATGTCCGAAGAGTGGGGTGATAAGAACATTTTAAGCAAACATGCATAGTTACAGGTGCCTTTCTCACCGTTGTCTCGTGATGAGGTTGATGTAGTGTCTCAGCGCGGTGTAATATTTAGCGAGTTCCTCCGGAGGAGCATCATCTCCGGGATTCTCTGGTTTAGGCGGATAGGCGTCCACAAATGTCCCGATACACAGGAGCACGCAGAAGAGGAGAGTAGCGATGACGGTCCAGGGTTTCAGCATGACAACCATCTGAAAAATAAAACTCGCGTTTTTTCCTTCCATAAACAAGTGCACATGTACACTTACTGTGGTTACTTTACAAGAAGCTGCGTTTTATAAGACGTCTGAATAGATCGGGAAAGTACGAGAGCAACAACAGGTGGAAAAGTGTAGTTGTTGCGTAAGATACAGTTTTGTAATAGTTTTGCGAGTTAGTAGCTGTGCATATTGCAGTCAATACGACGGCAAAAACTTCATTTTAAACAACAATAAAAAATATCTCTTTGAAATTCGGAATGACTTGTCAGAGCTATTATTCAAATCAATCGAAAATCAGAAGCAAAAACACATGCATTAAGAAACAAATCACTTTAGTTTGTGTATGTTTAAAAGCATATCATGAAAACTTCTTTGTGAAATGGAATAATTGCATGAATAAAAATAAAATCTACTATTTATTTTTTATGTTAATCTAGACTATCAAACATGTTTTTCCTAGCAGCTAATTAAAAGTAGTATGAATTTAGTTAATCGTTGAGCGTCAAAGTGATTGCTGTCCATGGTGCTGAATGTGCTAGTACTAATAAAAATGACACTGAAAACATATTTTGTATCCGACATAAAAAAAAAACTTAGCAGAATTTAGCAGGAATGAGAACAATAATGCCTAGAATTTCTACTTAATGCCAAATCTAGCATCTTTCAAATGTTAAACGCAAGTTTTGATTTCGCACCTCCACATGCAGAATGATAAGCACAAGACAAACTTACTTTCAGCGCAGCCTAAGAGTTCAGGTACAGTTATTTCTCTGGACTGGAACCTTGAAGTTTCTTGAAGTTTCAATGTTCTTTTTTGCGGCTCCCGAGTCTTTGCGCGGTCTTTCAGAAATAAGAAGTTGTCCACTCACGGATCTGTTCTGTCCTGCCCGCACCTCAAGCGCTTTATATACGGTGCTGCGCCTTGCGTAAACACGAGACGGGCGGTGGAAATGACAGGAGCTCTGCCCCCAGCACCACTTCCATCGTCAATCATAAACACATTCGTAATACGACTCACGAGACATCCCTAGTTTCATTAGTTTCATGAAGATCATTGCTGTTGTTCAGCTGCAGGTCCGTTACCCGAATCTGAGACGTAATTGAAAATTAATATCAATAACATCCTTAAAGCTTATTTATGTAGGCCTACATGATTTTCCTATGGAAGTTGCTTATTATTAATAACCCCATTGTTTATGAACAGATAGCAAGTGTCTGTCAAGTAGAATTTCCATCAAGTTCAGTTTCTGATGAAAGGAATTACGTTCGAGTGGCCTTCAGTTTACATCAAAAACAGATGACGCTCCGTGCAAGATTACATTGATTGCAGCGACTAATCAAAACTCAGAAACGATTAATCGAGCAATCAAATATAGCCTAATTCTTGCATCCCATCTCAGAACTACTTGACCCCTTATCAACTCAGATTATCTCCTAGGATGGTCTCTCTCTCTCTCTCTCTCTCTCTCTCTGAAATTACCTTTGTATAACTGTTAAACCTGTTCCATAAGATATTAAACTCATTGTGGGAATTATGCAATTACTTTAAGTGAATCGCCCATTTAAAAGGAATTTCGGCTTATTTAAAGCAATTTTACGAGTCTGCTAAATTTTCAAATGTAAGTAGCCTAAAAGCAATATTCGAGGCGCAGTTTTGGCATTACATTAGCTAAACTAGACTTGTAAAACAAAATATTAATGTTTTATGGAAAAAGAATAAAGTGACACATATTGACAGTAGTAGACTACTTGCCATGATAGACTAGATAGACAATTATGATAGACCTAAACGGATCGCGATGAAAAGCGACACACTGTTGTCATGGTTACCACCTCTGACGAAGGCGACTTCGTTTGCGTCTATTCTCCAAAACTCTACTTAGCCATCCAGTTCAACAAGATACAAGATTCATAGTG